GCGGATCTAAATTTAAAAATAGGAATGGCCCCCCACACCGCGGGCGCACCTGGAAAATTATCGTGATAGAAGACCCTAATTATAGTACCCCCAAAACCGGATCAATCCATTAATCAGCAATTAGGCCTCATATATCTCACCTCCACATAATAGACATACGCATATTTGCCATTAAAAACCCAACGATCCGCACGCCGACACGCCTACAGCATATAGCTGAGAATCTACTTACAGGCCGTACACAAAACTGATGCCCCCCGAACACTTAGATATTTAAATTATGAATGATTTACGGACCACGAACTGGCCAGGCTACTTTCTCGCATGATTAGTACAGATTAACATTCCTTCACACGATTAATGTAGCTTTCATTGTCACTTATGTACCACAAAGATGGCTAAGGATTATACCCCTCTCATACCCCTACTCATATTAATATATATATATACTATATACATATATATAAAGAGAGAGAGAGACGAGACGAGAGAGAGTGCGGAGGGACGGCCAGTAACGAGGCGAGATGAGATGTTAAGATAGAAGGAGACGAGTCACGGACGAGAGAGGTCACGACCCGGCAGAGACAGAGAGAGAGAGCGCGAAGAGAGATAGAGTGAACGAAAGACCGAAGCCTTAGAAAGAGAGAACCGGAGAGATCTTCTATTACTACAATACTCGCAGCTTCGCGGGCAGCTGACGTGGGCCGTGCAGCAATCTACGTCACCACGCACCTTCGGCAACTGCGAGTTGGTGTTCGATATGAGGGTGGTCATCGTTAGAACTGTCGTCACACCGAGTGCGACACGGGCCGGAGCCGACCCTCTGTCCAGCCAGAAGGACACCCACGAGATGACAACGATCAGATTCGCCGGCAGGTAAATCTGGAGCAGGTAATACTCGATGCGGCGAGTGAATGTCAGGAAGACCTTTAGGCGAGAATATGTACCTGCGCAGGTAAAAAGAAAAAACGCTTAGACGCGCGTTAAAAACCCAGCGTTAAGAATGGTCACGCATTGTGTTATTACTAGATGACGCTAAGGCATTCAGATTTGGTTTGTTAGCGGTTCGTGTGCGTTTTTAAAGGACGCGGTTCACGCTTTCGTGCGCATGTTATAAATGATTAAATAAGGGGACGTTAGTGATTATTAATGATTAGTAATGATAGATTTACTCGATTATTCAAGAAACTTAAATTATTTATTTATTCATTGCGCTGCGATGTCACCAAATTCGTCGTTCATTCGTTTCTTCGTTTAATCATTTGTTCGTTCGTTCGTTCGTTCGTTCGTTCGTTCGTTCGTTCGTTCGTTCGTCCGTTCATTCATTCTATCAAGAGCAGATAAAGAAGATCCTTCTTTATCTGCTCTTGATTCTATTCGTCCGCTCGTTCGTTCCTTCCTTCCTTAATTCACCAATTCGTTTATTCATGCATAAGATTAGAAATGCATCGTACCTGTTGACGTGTTAGCATATACGGAAGTCTTTTCGACTTTTATAATTTCAAACTGTGGCAGATGTTTCACCTCCTTTGGTATGGCAACTGGTTTGTCCTCGCCCCAGCCATAACTAATATCCTTAGCACTATAGCCGTCTGTAAGAAACCAATAACAAACAAATTAATAAATGAATGACAACAGTAGGCAGTGATCGCGCAAAACAATTACTTAGTTGCAACTGGGTAACTATTGACGAGCGCACACACGCACACGCACGCACGCACACACACACCCACGCACGCGCGCACACACACACGCACGCACGCACGCACGCACGCACG